AACATTTTAAGCTAGAAAAAATAATTACTTATTCCATGTTATATTGAGCATTATATATTATCATTTTTTAACTGTAAAATATTTCTTATATTAATTTAATATGTTTACTAAGATGCACCTTTTTAAAAATTCTTATGAGAATAAGTATAGAAAATTATGAATGTGAGCAATGTTTGGTGAGTATTTGTAACTAACAATAAGAATAAGTTTATATCTGATACATCATTATTAGATATTTACATCATTATTGCACAAATGTTACTCTTCCATTTCTAGGAGCAATTTTATTTTCCAACGGATCGTCATATTCTTGCGCCAATTTATTTTTAATATTCTCCTTAGGAGCGACTTTATTTTCAATTTTAATAGAAATATTAGAAGGTCGGATTCCAGTGAAAGTGCTAAATCCTGCTGTCAAACCGTGCCAAGAGAAAGATGTATCTTCATTAACATTCTCATGCACTTCGTAGGTATGCTGCGGATGATTTCCCAGATATCCACCTTTGACAAACAATATGTAAATAATATATATATATTTATATATAATTAACACATTGATTGCAATATCATTTATAATCAGCGTTTTCGAAATTTTTTTAAATGCTTACAGAAAATAAGTATCATTTAATGTAAAATTTTGAATAACATAATTAAATGACTACGTAAAAATGAATAATATCAGAGATATAAAATTTTATTTAATTATATTACACAATCATATATATTATTTTATCATTATATTTACGAAAATGAAAATTCGATCATAATATATAACGGTAATAAAAATTACTGTAACGTGTTAATATATTTGTAATTATATAACATATTACATAATTAATATATATTTTAATTCTGACCGATATATATATATATATATATATGTGGTGTGTGTGTGTGTGTGTGTGTGTGTGTGTGTGTGTGTGTGTGTGTATACATATAATGCAACATATTCCTTTCTTGCTGGAATGAATGGCAGCGGTTTTCACGAGTCATCGATATAAGCTGTACAGGTTGTACGCTAATAAGAATCTCCGAAGCAATGCAGATAAAATAATGCTTCGCATTTCGTATAGGTTTCCCATCATGTCCAAAACGGAGAACATCAGAGGACGCATCATTGAATTATCGCTCAAATAGTCCACAAATTCTAGCTATGTATAATGCTACATATTTATTTAATAAAAAACTTTGGTCTCAACTAGGAACATTGTCGTTATTGATTTTCTCCTAAACTTATTCTCGCCTACGCTTGTTTGTGTTTTGCCATGCGACTTTGTTTCTCAATTTATTCCTCGCTTCATAACGAAGACCTGAAATGCACTTATTCATTTACAGATCATATATCATCTCTAAATTAAACATCAGTTCAAATATTTTCGTAACAAGCCTATTTTAATTGCTTTTCTGATGATGTTGATCCATCCTGATGCGAGATCGAGTCATGCCCTAATTCATTCCGAGAATTTTTATTGGATTGCACTGAATCGAAACACATTCTTACGCAATATGAAACTCAATGTGCGTCTTGTGCTTTTGGCTAATACGGACTGTCGATAATACGGACTGACGCGAAGCGGTTTTAACTCGTAATGCGGACCGACGCGAAGCGGTTTTAGCTCGTAATCGTTATTAAGAGGATGAGGGTGGTTCCAAGAAAGAACAATCTGAAAGATCAATTCTCTAAATGATAGGCGTTTATTTTGTTCCTAAACGTATGGATACGCAAATCATTCCTCGTGCCGTGCACGGGGGAGTAACAATGATAACCACAGATTAACAGACTGTAATCCACGATAGAGCTTATCATCTTAATTCGTGTGTCGGTCCTCCCTCCTTAAATAATTATGTACACGAGTTTTGCATTAGTCGCCTGCGAAACGCGGCTGATTTCCGCAACTTGCAGAAAACGGCTGATGTATAAATAGTCGCGGATGATGCATCGTTCATGGTGGGCAACGCGTCGCGCATACAATTTTCGTTACTATAAGGACATAACAATATCATTGACTAACATGCATCATCTGCACGCACTAAGAAAAACTCAAACTTGTATACGTATGTGAACTTGTGTGTAACGTTCGCGCGGGATGTTAAAAGAAAAATTGAAAGGTGTAATGTTATAACTGTGGAAAAATTTTCGACCGAAAGGAAGCATTGAACTGGCCAAACAATATATTCTTGTTTAATCCTCTCGGTCTTTCTTTTAAACCCTATGCAAATCCATTATCAGATATCATACGTATACAAGTCTCACATTACTATATTAAAATGTTTGCATCATTTACAAACTATAATGCTATAACTTACTGCAGGTAGTAACTAATGGACAGATACAATTTCAATTACCTCTTCGGTTTGCAAACTATACATGACTCGCATTTATATCTACAACAGTATTCAACCAACGATTTTTTATGTGTGGGTTTATTGGCGTGTACAATCTGGCAACTTTTTAGAGAAAGCTTCTCTTTTTCCTCTTTCTCTCTTTGTTTAACTTGACAAATGCAGGTTCTACACTCGCGCATTTTTAAGAAGAAAACTGTTACAAGAGTTAGTTGGATATAAATTCAGTTATGTAAATTCCAGGACTAGACAGAGATACATGTGTTAGAGAAGGAAAAACGTCTTTGATATGTTGTTCAAAAAACAATGAACTTTTGTTTTCTCAAATGCATTTTGTCCAGCCCTGGTAATGGTTTCTAATATCGATTATTGGGTAACTTATTGGATCAGTGTGTTCAGTATAACATTATTAACGCATTCCTTGCGGATGATTAGCGATAACATAGCGGAATCACGTCGCGCGGATCTCTCTACGAAGGTTGAACCATAAATAAAAGTCTCTTATTGATTTTACGAAAGAGATATCAGTGGAAAAAAGAAAGCCAGCTTCGGCACAAAGTCAAGGAAGGATGGCTCGTTTTTTCTATTTCTTTTTTTTAATACTGTAAAAGTGTGTAATGCTGAGTGAGTGTCGCACGTGCTAGTCAATGCCACATTACTCGTCCAATGGTTTTTTAGTAGCTGAAACAAATCCACAGTAGGTGGGTAACACAGGTAGACAAACACACACGATTACTCAATCACACTCGTGCCAGAATCCGAAACTTGATACTAACCGATAATAATTAGGCTTGAACGGACCCGCTTTATTAAGACCCATATACTTTGCTTGTTCATCTGTCAATTCCGTCAGATGTGCGTCGAAAGTGGGTAAATGTAATGACGCTACGTATTCATCTACAAATCAACATTACGATGTCATACTTTTATCGTCTTACGATATACTTGACAAAAAAATTAAGTAAAAAATTAAGTATCTTAAAAAATTGTTCTAAATAAGGAAAAGAATAATATAAAATCAAGTCATAATTATTTTAATTATTTCAAATTAATTAATTACTTTAATAAATAAAAATTGCTTTGAGACAATAAATCTTCTTTTCGCTTAACATATATGACGTAAAGAAACTGCATTTTAACATCTATAGATGTGCTTACCCATTTTTTTCGGCAGCAAATAAACGTCGCTCTTGTATCGTCCTGGTGGCGCGTTAAATAGTTCGATGAGGGCTAACGCTTGTGTAGCGGCAGTAATCGACACCACAAAGGATGGAATACTTGAGCATGACAGATTCACTAAACGACCTTCTGCTAGCAAAACGATGCGCTTACCGTCCGGCCAAATAACATGGTCCACTTGCGATCTGACTTTCTCCCAAGTCAAATCGGGCGTGCGTAAACTGTTCTATTAAAAATAATATTTAAGGAGATTTAATCCTCAGTCTTCCTTCGCGCAAATCATATCAAATCAATCGCTCGCGAATCGGATTGCTATAATTGTCCATCGCGTAATCGCACGCTACGCGGGTAAAGAAGATAAATTGGGACATACGACGTCTATCTCCGTGTTGCTATGGCCCATGTTGCACACGACGCATCCGTTCTTCATTTTGTCCATGTGCTCGCGCGTGACCACATTTTTATTGCCCGTCGCTGTAATAACAATGTCTACATTTCGAATGACTTCATTGAGCTTCATCACTCTGAAGCCGTCCATGCTGTAATGCGACAACACATATGTATAGAATTTCTATCCGACTCAGCGAACGATCTGGTTGTGGAAATTAATCGCTCGGCAAGCGCGCCTTACCTGGCCTGCAAGGCGCATATGGGATCGATTTCGGTAATATACACGATACAGCCTAAGCCTTTGAGAGCTTGACAACACCCCTTCCCGACTTCTCCATAACCGCATATAACAACTTGCTTCCCTCCAAACATGATGTCAGTCGATCTTTTCAAACTATAAGCAATAAATTCGATAAGTGCTGAAAACTAACAAGCATCACATTCAGATTAAACCTATTCGAGATCTCCTTAGTAAGGCGATATACGTAAACTCACCTATCAATGATGCTCTCGCGGCAACTATAGAGATTATCGAATTTCGTTTTAGTTACACTATCATTCACATTCATCGCGGGAACAGATAATTTTCCTGCTTTTGACAATTGATATAATCTATGTACACCTGTGACACTCTCCTCGACAATTCCTAAAAGAACATATTTCTAATATTTTACTCATCCATAAATCAGACATCAAGAGAATTGTTTATGGTCGAGAAAATATTAATTTTTGTTAATTTTTGTTCATTACTGCTATTAAATTATGACTTTCTGGTGTCAAGAATCTTCTCTAACGTATACAAGCTACAATAAATTGTAATGTTAACACTATGGAATAAGATAAAACCTTGGATCATTTTGAACATGGCGTTATATTTCTTGAGCATCAAGTGAGTAGCATCACCGCCGTCGTCCAGTATCATATTAGGCTGCCAATTTTCAGCCGCCACGCATTTATCGATGCACCACCAGAAATCTTCCTCAGTTTCACCACGCCACGCAAAAACCGGATATCCGGCGTACGCCAACGCCGCGGCTACCTCGTTCTGTGTGGAATAAATGTTGCACGCCGCCCATCGCACTTGCGCGCCGAGTTCCACCAGTGTTTCAATCAGAACGGCAGTCTGCGCGTTGATATGAGTGCATCCCACAATCTTGGCGTTTTTCAACGGCTATGTAAAGATATTAGTCAGATTTTTTTTCTCTTTCTCTCGCAATCGAACGAGAATTTATCTAAAAACTGAATTTTTATTCTCCTTAAAAAGTATCCGAGCGTTGACGATCTTTATTGTTATCAAAGAGAAAGTGATGCTTTGAGAGGTATACCTTGTCGTCCCCCGCGCGTTTCCGCAATGCCATGATTCCCGGCATCTCCTGTTCGGCGATCTCGATCTCTCTGCGGCCGAAAGCTTGTTGATTGATGTTACGCACGCAGAAATCCGTGAAGCCCTTCTCTGTCTTCTGGATCTTCTCGCGCGGTGAAACGTCATCCTCGTCGGACGAGCTTCCTGTATAAGAGGCTAAGATAGCGCCAGGTGCCGAAAAACGTCGATTATTAGTACCACATTGAGGTGCAGATGCAGATTATCCTAACGGAGTGACTAATGCAATTGCTAATTCCGTGTTAGAACGATTACTAATTCTAAACAATTATGATGATAAAACCCATGAGCGATACATATGTAACGCTTTAAACGTTGATGCTTGCGATTAAAGTACAAACTGATGTTAGAAGAGGATAATATGATTATTATACAGAAGTATACAGAAGTAAGCTACAAAATGTTTCTTCCTTCAACAAGCAAAACACAGAGTTCTACAATTATAATATTTTGCTACGTGTCTAAATCATTTGTACCAGAACTGTAACTGTCAGTGCTGCTAGCTGACAAAGAGCGGCTCCGGTAGCGACTGGACTTCTTCAATGCTCCAGACTTGGAGTCCTAAAATTTGAAAAGTACAGTCAGGTTCAATGGGTCATGAAAAAGACTCTCTTTTCTAAGGGGCTGCGAAATGCATTGAGAGAAATTACAAACTGAAAGAGTGCGCATGAAGCTAGTTTGTTGTGCTGAATGTACACAGATCAATAAAGACAATTAATCTGTTAAAAAAATATTACTTTATCTCTTCACGTCATTATGCATGATGAAATTTCAACAATGTCTCAAGTAGGATTATTTGCTCTTTTGGAGCGAAAAATAACGGTAAAACAAGATGCGAGAAACTCTAATTACATTTGCTAATCGTCCCATTAGTCTGTGTTATCTAATCGATAAGCGAGAACGGCAAATCTGATCAGCACACACATTTATATGGCGGAAAAGTTAAGGCAGCCCTGCAAGGAAATAGCAAGGATCATTCTATGGCATTGGGAGTACAGATTTACTGTGTGTTTTTTATACACATATATATTCTTACTTACTAATTTTGTTCTCGCGCCGTGAAAGGCATTATTTGATGCCTCTAGGCTCTGAAATCACAACAACCACCATTTCATCATTCAAATGCATCAAAGTGTCCGCAATACAGTCCGTAGTTTGGTACAAAGCTCCCAAAGGTTTTTCATACTTGTGCGTAATAGATATTTTTACGACAGCACTCAATTCTTCGCATTTTATTTCCGTATCTTGCACAATTCTTTTATATCGAGTAAAATGATTCAAATCACAAATCATGATTGATTATTATGAGATGAAAATTATAAAGTATTCTACAAGGTACAAGGTGATTTAAAAGATTACTATCAAAGTTAAGGAACATATAGAAGAGTTGAAATAAAACAACTTTCACACAAACCCATGTTATCCAAAATAATCTTGAGTCTATAAATCTGTTCTTTTAAACTGAACTTCTTGAACTTCACAGTTGATATTTCTTTCTTTTTTTTCTATAAGAAAAAATAGGAAAGATGAACCGAGCAAGAAGTTCAACTTATCTCATATCTAATATAATCTTTGAATGTAGGAGACTCAGACAACATATCAATGAAATAATCGTTAGAAAATTATTCTATTTCGATTTCTCTGTGTGCTTCTTAACTTTGACAATAAACTTTTGAATCATTCTTATAGAGAATTAGGTAAAATTTGTTTCTAAATTTTTTTCTATTTACAATTTTGTACATCGGATCAGCTGGAACATACTCAGACAATTTGAACAATTAGAAGCCGTTTGAATTATGCTATCTCCATTAATTATTCGTCGATCATTTTGTTTGCACTCGATACAATTCACGTGGTGCTAATTGTGCCACGCCTAAATGGTGTATCTAGGCTTACGAGCGATGCATGAGTGATTGGTACCGAACCTACGGACTACTGTGTGAATAATGCTCTATATGTGTAAAAATAATATAAGCACAGTAAATGCCAAGTCATGGGCACTATCCATAACCGCATGCATTCACTTCTCAAAAGTTGCTCTTTCTCTCTATATTTCTTCAATTAGTGGAAAAGGTAATAACGATTTGTTACATGTGCCTGGAACAATTGTTAAAAATATTTTGCTTAGAGAAAAAGAACATAGAGTGTTATTCTGGTGCATTAAGATCGAGTAACGCTGAACCGGTTCGATCATGTTCTTGCAGATTAAGCAAGCTTCTATTAAATCATTGTTTACTTTTGTCCTAGATAAAATAAATTAAGCGCCCTTAAGTCACTCAACTCAATAATTTACTAAATAAATAAAAATAAAAAAAATGAAAAAGAGCAAGAGGAAACTTCTTTCAATCACAGCTGCCAAGTATCCCGGATAGGCAAATATAGACAGCTCTTAACCAACGCCCATTCATCAATGAATGAGATGACAATTAATGCCATGTGTCCAATTACGTAAGAGCCACATGTGATCACAAGACTTCAAAGGGCGAGACGGAAGAAATACAGGTGAGGAGCTGTAATAAGAATGACAGAGATGGACGAGGCTAGAAGAAAAAGGGGAGATACATAAGGAGAGAGAGAGAGAGAGAGAGAGAGAGAGAATGAAAGAAAAATACGAAGAAACCAGTGTAAATAAGAGGGAAAAATAGAGATGAATATCGAAATTTTTCATTTCTGCAGAGCGAGCGATATTCGATGCAGAAATTAATTATCGATGACGATGTTAAACGCGCGTTCTGGCCTCATTCACCGATCGACTCTGTCGTGAGAACGGCGGCAAATACGACAGTTGTGGCATACAGCTGTCAAATTGACATGAACGTCGCTCGGAGCGTGCGGGACAGCACAAAATTTTAAGTTAGGTTGAAGACCGGCTCGATTTACCTTCATACTGGATGCTGGATCGGTAACCGGACCATCGGAAAGCGTGCCTCTCACTTCTTTCCCGGACGACGTGCTGTTCACACCATCCACGCTGTCGGCCATTTTTCGAATGCACGGCACGCGCGACATCACCTGAATCGGCCGCCAGACGGCACTCCGTGCGGTTGCGCGCGATTCAGGCTCGTAACTACGTTCACAGTGCCCCCGCGTCTCATCTTGTGCATCACTGCGGTCAATATTTTAAGCTATTTCGACTAAATTCAGTTTTACAATTAAGAACATATAACATTAATTTTTTTAACGAAAGAATTATGTAAAGACCATAGATTTTTTCTACATTGCATATGAAAAATAATTAGAATAAATG